GTGGTTACGTAAATCTACATGTGCTGAACCGCACGTGTGCGTTTGTCCGAATGTAATTAGGAAACATTTATTTGAGCAACCCTTTCATGCACCAAAAATAATAACCTGTAACCTGATAACACGATAAGCTGTCCACTGTAGTAATCGCTGTCCCTGTAAGGGTTAATATACTTGCATCATTCCAAACTAGTGTACCTCAAAAAAAAAAATACATGATCGCTGTGGTATAGTCGGCATCGGGTGAAATTTCCGGATGAAAATAAGGTCCTTGAAAGGATAAATGTGTCCTTCTCTAAAACATTTGCATGCACGTTCAACTGTTCAGTGTTTTGTCACAAGGAGATGGAGGGCAAAATTCACAACTTTCTGTCCCTCCGTATCTCAAATAGGACCTACTGATGAGAGTCAGGGACCATCTTGTTTAAAGGCACACAGTGGCCAGGTCCTGTGGATCAATTGTTCAAATGGAAACCACATGGTGAAGAGGATGGCTGGATACCAATTGGAAGTGAAGCGGGATATTCATTCGTCGATTCGTGGACCGACACGTTTGCTGTTCGGATCTTTGTTAGAGAGAAGCAAGTTGTGGAAAAACTGAAACGTTGAATTGTCGGTCAGCCAGAACTTTCGAAAAAGTCAAATGAAGTTCACCTGTAAAGTTCATAGTGCATTTCGGGTTCATTCTGAAACTTCACCCGAGCAACACGCATGTGTGGGCGTGTGTGTGTGCACGTATGCATTTGTTTTTGGGCGTGCATCTCAATGGAGCCCTACGTCACTCACGTCCAAGACAGCTGCAGATGCATATGGCCATGCCAAGCCAATGCTTTTTCCCAGATTCCTCGATTTCCACGACACAGCTTCCCTAATTGGCCACGGATCTCATGTCTCATGTTCTTGGACGTCGGGTGGAATCTTTTCCCTGAGGATCAAACGTGGGTATTTCGCTCCAGGCCCCCCAAAAAAACACACACACACCAAAAAAAAACACCCACACTCTTTTTGTTTTGGAGCTGATGTTTTCATCAGAATCCTTCCTCTCTCTTTGCGCTTCACTCACAGAAAACATCCAATAATCGATGAGCATGGAATCCGTCCGCGGAAGCTTTGTTCCATCATCACACCTTCCTCATCACCCGATGTAAGTTAACCATATGCCTACGCTTACCGTATTTACTCGGGCTTAAGAGCTAATGCTAAGTGGAGCCGTGGGTGTGAACCCCTCCCAACCCTGCCCTGCACTGGCCTTGGACTTAACAACCATCCCACTAGGCCCAGCAAGCGATGCAGCTGCACGCCAGCGTTAGGTTACCAGCGGAATGAATGACAAGAGCAGGTTGAGTGGCAGGCCGGTTTGCGGAGGTGCACATCATATACTAGTGCACAATACACATTTCGTGTAAGTCCATAGACAGATTCTGTGAAAGTTGTACTACCCTCAGTGTCACGAAATTATTTTTTTAAAAAATGAACAGGGGAAAAAATGCTTTTGCATTAAAGTGTATTAACGCAAAATAAAATGGTGTTTGAATAATCGACAGTCGATTCTAAAAATATTTGATGGTGACACTCCTACATGTAATGTTTAATAAACTCTGTGTGTGCAGTCGCTGCCCTCTGTTGATACGGATGTAATTCCATACTACATCCACGCATGCATTTTTTTTTTATGACTCCAGTACATGTAACCACAGTCTCATTAACCCATCCATGCACAAATAATGACAACCTGTAACCTGATAACCCGATAAGCTGTCCACTATAGTAATCGCAGTCCCTGAAAGGGTTAAATATCTGTCACGTGAAATGTATAAAAATCTAAAGGCGTAAGGGAAAACTGTAAATCCAAAGTTAGTGTCAACACCATTTATTGAGGATGACCTGTTTCAAAACAAGCAAAAAAAAAGCACAAAAAGCCAAAGAAAAAAACAAAACATGCGAAATGAATCCTCTGAAGTTTCTTTGAGCAAGGTCAGGTCGAGGTAGTCTGCAATTTTGCGTGATAGGCCGGCGTCATTTGGTCTGAAGTTTTATACAGCATTTTTGGTGTGGGTTTTTTTTCCCCCGAAAATTACAGTCGCATTCCGAAATGCACAACTTCAGGGGTGTTTGGCTCTTTTGACGTTGCACCGTAAAAGTAAATGGAGTGAGGTTCCCCGAGGCTGGCTGAGTTAGCGCGTCAGTACACCAGGAAACTTGGAAGTTATATGCAGTGATTGTTTTTAAGATGCACTGACTCAAACTAAGGGGTTTGCACATGCTTGTTTGTCGTTTTAATGCAGTTCCTTGTTATTATATTACAGTTAGCTTAGTTTGTTAGCATTTAAATATGAACTCTACTGACTCTTTTCTCCATACACCATTGAGAAATGTAGTTAGTGTGCTCCTCCTGTACTCTATCTGACGGTCCTCTCCGGTGTTGGCGGCAGTTTGACGATGGCAGTATTGTGAAAGTGGTGTTCCTGATAAGCCCATACCCGTTTCCGGGACTTGTCTCCATTCACTTCTGGTAACCTGTCTTGAGTGAGTGTGAGATTAGAAATGGACGCGGTGCATTCAGGGCCTCTGACTGTGACTGCAAGGAAGATCAGGGGTCGCCCTGTAAAAACATTCCCATGCTGCAGCGCCGCCCACCATCCCGCCACCCCCCAAGTCCTCAACCCTGCCAGAAGCTTCCTGGCACACTGCAGGGCAAAGAGATACAGAAGACAAACTTTCTTAAATGAAATTCTGAGCATGGATCGCCCAAATCTGGTTTCATTCAACACGTGAGAAAAAAAATGAAGCTATATGACAGGGAAGAAGACTTAATATTTACATCCTTATTCTTCGACCGTCCTCTGTATCCAATAAAACCAGCTTCCAAGTCCAAACGCTGTCAAATGGTAAAGCATGCCCCCTTGGGGGATCAGCAAAGAACATGAAGTCCTATCATCTTGTTTATTCTGTTTAAATTGACTCGTTTGAAGGTTTCAACCTGTCTCCACCCGATTACATAATCAGCATGGTTCTCTTGTCTGATTTATGGGATTTTTCCGTCTCTCAGCACATGTCTTCCCGCCGTTATTCTAATCTCCTTGAACCGAGTCCGTGCAAATAAATAAAACTCTGAGCACATCGCGTCCACTTCCGCGTTGTAGGGGCTGAGTCGAGCTTACCTCGAATGCGCACGCACACACCCTTGTGGCTTCGCATGCTGACCACAACTGTTCTCTAAGCTATGGTTAACACAGCCCCGATTCCTCGAGGAGGCCGACGTTCCAGGCTAGTTTGCCAGAAAAGTACTTCAAGACACTTAAGGAGGGAGGAAAAAAAAAGTTACAAAATCAAAACCACCAAAGAGGCCCCTATAGTTTGTATGTTGACATATGGATGAAAAGACTCTATAGGGCAGCCAGCGGGGTTTGTTGTTGTAATAATATATTTTTTCTCCCAGAGATCCAAGGCTCTCTCTCCCAACATGTACAAGCCTGACGCACTTCTGAGATCCCTGCTGAGGCAACAATACAAGCCTGCCTTCCTGACCTCTCCGTCTCGCAGAGTCTGCAGACGCACAATGCTCGCCTTAATTACCAGCCTCCATTGCCGGCAACTATGGCTTAGCCCAATGGTGCCCATTCAGAACCACAGTCTCTCCCGAAGGTGCCCATTCAGGCCCCAACACAAAGCCAGCAGTGTCACTCCCCGATCCCTTGACACCCCATCCAGAATTGTGTGCCAGCGCTCGCATGTCCGCATTCTTTCGTCATTCAAACTCATAGCGCCGACAAGGGTGAGTGGTTCACGCGTGACAGAATCAATGAGCTTAATTCAACATACCGCAGACCAGATAAAAAATTGGAAGGAGTGAGGAAGTTGTGACACTTTTCAACCATCCATCATCAATTAAGAGGCAGGTTATGTTGTAGGAAATGGAAGCAATGGATAACCCATTGACACGTTCCGGAATAATCTGTATAATAATGTAATAATATGCTAAAACGTAGACAAGGATAAGATCTTTGCGCAAAAAGGTTTATTTACCGACAAAAAAGGCGCTAGAATGACGCTCGTTCCAAAAACCAGGAAAAACGACACAAACCAAAAACGCTTGCAAAAGGCAAGGACAAATGCAAAGTTGCTTGTCATGAAAAGACGAGAAAACCCAGAACACAAATAATACAAGCCGAGAAAAAGAGGGAAACACATACTACTTACTATTAGCTAATCCAAAAAACGTGGCGAAACTAATACGTGGCAAGAACAAAATTCGAACACTTTAAGACAGAATCATGAGCAGGGCGAATAATCCGACCAAGAGTAGACAACTTGGCAGTCCTTATGTACTCGGGTGATTGTGATGCGTGACACGTGCACCGCTGGAGGCAACCACCCTCCATTCCAGCCGACACTGAAAACCAAAACAAGCAAAATCATGACACCCATCGCCAAAGAATGCTTTCATCAAACCTTGCGACCACTCGTTCTACAAACTAAGTCAGTTGGGATCTGACCCAAAGCGGCAAGGTCAGACCACTTTCAGAGGCAAGCCAGACCAAAACATGTTTGACCATCGACTGAATTTGACTCTAAATAGACATGGATTTACCAGAAACGTCATCATCATATCATTTGAGAAAAAGGTCAACAAACACATCGGCCAACTTGCTTCAGCTGAAGAATAGTTTCTTTTCATCTGACAGATTGGACGTATTAAGTCTTCAGTCAGGGTCTCAGACCAGATCTTATGTGTCAAATAACCATCGACATTAATGTTCACATCTATGGACAATTTAGAGTCTCGAATTAAAATATCATGCACGTCTTTGGAATGTGGTACAAAGCCGTAGTATGTGGCGAAAACTCATGCAACCACGAGGGAGAACATGAGACCAGGTCACACAAAATCGTGCCTTTTCCTAAATGGACCGTATTCGGGTTTCTGGACAAAATAGTCTCATACTCTTCAGGTCTACAGTACTGCTGTTTTATTTTTGATTAAATCTGTTTTTTTTTTTATTTAATCGTGGACATGGACTTGGCATCCCAGCCAAGACACGGTCATGCCAAGCAATCGGAGGAATTGAAAATGTCTATCAAAAATCTCCTCAGAATGCAGTTATTAAACAAAGCAGTGAGACAAATTAGGTAGAGCATGATGAGATTAGCCCATCAAAGAAGTTTTGTTTTCCATCTTTTTTTGTCGCTATTACTGCAGGAGTACAATACGGGCCAACAGCGTAATACATTTTTGGACAAATGGAAGTGAATTAGGTAGAAGGTTCTCCGTTCCTCCGCTGTCAGAATAATTACACAAAAGTAGCTTCCTCCAAGGAGAAGTGTCTTCGGAGGCCAGCGGAAAAAGTGTGTCACAGAACCTCAAGTCATTCAAAACAAAATGTTCTGGACAGTTGCGCGTCGCCTTCTGCCCACTACTGGCCATGCTGAAGGTCTGCGGTCTATCTTGCTTATATCAAAAAACACACAAAAGAACCTATCAAACTTCTTTGGAACTGCCGCTCTAACAGGATATCACGCTGGAGTGAATATCTTACCTGCGACCCTCCGTCCGCAGTGTCAGGCGAGCCATCCTGGCGACCCAGTTCCTGTAGCCCGGGTATGGCCGAGGACCCCGGTGACACTGTAGCTGTGTTCGGCACACACGCCACAGTGGGATTACAGTGCGGTTAATCACTGGACGTATTGCCGGGGAGCAGGAGGATGACATATTCCACAGATGACATGAAATACTGTATTATTAAAGAGTGACTGTTAGAAATTAAAAAGGGATTGAGGGTGAACATTAGTACCGCTTACTGCTGTGAAGACTAATTCACATTGAAAGATTGATGAACAACTCTTTAAAGAGATTGTTTCTTTGCTTCAGTCTGCATTTTCTCGCTGGCTTGGCAGCATGATCGGAAGACCACAGAAAGTATGGAAGAGGCTAAGCGCTAATTTAGCACCACTACAAAGTAAAGATCCCTAGCATGCTAGCTAGTGGCGATGTCGGCGTAAAGAAACGCGACGCGCATGGGCACAAACTGTTTTCCAACTTTTTTGTGTCAGCTGTGATGAACTCGCACATGTTCAAACTGAGCTTACGAAAACTTTGAGAGCTGTTTACAAATGGTTGCATTTTTGGGCACGGAATAGGAACAAAAAGGCCAAACCATTGCAATTTTTATCCATTTTTCCGGAAATACCGTCAACGCTTAGCTTTACCTCAAACTCTGGAGGATATATTAACTTTAGGCAAAATGGGATAAAATTGTTCCCTGATGAGAAATTTGAATATTCCCTTATCACTTCCTCATAGCAGTGCTAATGCTCGTGCTAGTTTCCACACCTACAACCCATGTGGTGCCTCGCAGAGGTGAGGTTGAGTGTGAGAGTTATCAAAACAGGAAGTGGTGCAATTGTTGTCTCAGCAAAAATTGAGCGGAAGAATGGGATTTCTGTACGGAACACAAACCAGCTGGCAGGAAACCACTTTTTTTTTTTTCGTATCATTCTTCAAGCTTTGATTTCCTATCATGGGAAGTGTCCTCACACTGCTTTCCTTGGCTTGCTGTCTCCAAACTCGTCTCAGGCCTTCAAACCGTTGCCTCCCTTTTTGTGCGTGCGCGCGAATCAATTGTGCACCACGCCATGACAGGGAATCATCCAAACTGCCTGCCACGGCATATAACGGCAGCGATGTAGAACTGGCCCAGGGGCCTGGAGAGATCATGGGTGGAAAATGCGAGGCACTCTCTCATGACAGTGTTGAAAGATTGTTTATCGACAGGGCTCACAAAAAGCAAAGGGGAGCACGAATAAAAGACAAGGCGAGAGAAAACAGCTGGCGAACGAGAATGTAAATAATTTCCCACTTGATGGGTGACGGGAGTTGATTAAATAATAATTGCGCGAGCCAATCAACATACGGAGGCTCTGTGATCCTCCCACCCCTCTTCGCCCAGCGGGATGCCGCTATTGTGCACTTTTGAAAAAGTTGATGGAGAGCTGTTTTGATCAATTGAGATCTGGTTTCCAGAACACAAAAGGAAGCCTTTTACAAGTCACAGTTTTTACCTGTAAATGGATAACAACGGTGGCTGTTTATGCTTTCACATGGAATCTCACACTCAGATACTGAGATCCGTGACATGAGGTAGTATATGGTGGGACATATACAGAACATGTCCGACAGCGACATTTGCTTTCACAACAAAGCTGAAGTCAATTTATGGTGTTAAATGTCATATCCCAGTCGGATTTCCGCTTTCCCTTTTCACACGGGGCACTGTCCTTGCTTCTCTTAGGCCTCTGCAAAGCCGTATCATCCTCGTTCCATTCTGAAGCAATAGTTTTGTTTTTTTTCCACAGGCAGTATGAAGTGCAAATTATGATATCGCAAAACTTGAAGCATGCGAGTTGAGTGTCACATCTAAGAGAACTGTAGCGTCGGTGCTTAGAAGACTTCTCCAAGAAAGTGGACAGTTTCTGCACTGCTAATGTGTCCAGTGAAGTCGTATATTACAATTAGCCAAGTCAAATTCTAAACCAAATAAATCAAAAACAAAACACTTTCTAAAAGACAGTTTTAAGAACACAGCCAGACGGTTTGGATGTGCAAAAGGTTTCTTTTACAAAGGACCACCGACGACAGCTGGCTCTGCATGTGTGAATGAGGATTGTTTTGATAACGCCGGCATCTTACTGGAAACTCTTTGAGCCTATTTTAATTGGTCATTCCGGTGCAAACAGATGTAGAAAGAAGCACATGTGAACATTGTACAACATTTTAGATTGGGATGTTGTTGAGTTTCAGGTTATGCTATGAATTCTGCAGGTACTGGGAGAGATCTCACGAAGAGGTATGCGATGATTTAGTCACTGGACTCGCTGAACACTGAAACAAATTCTGAGTCATTCCCCATTCTATCCAAATTCTGTGAAAAACTCTAACCAAATGAAATCTGGTATGCCCAACTGCACTGTTGTTTTCACAAAAAAACAAATATAGCAAAGCAAAAGAATGCAAAGTCAAAATAGAACACATTGCCATATAAGTATAGGTTTGTTAAACAAGTTATACTTCCCTTGTCTTCAACCTATTTTTGTATACGTCAACAAGCAGATTACACATTACGTTTGAAACATTCCAATTTGCAAGCTATGATCACATACAAATGTTTGTGTTTTTTTTCTCCACCGTTTGTAGTCTGAAGGTCTGTTGTGCAAGGTTTTTACCTAATAATAAAAAAAAACCAAGCTATGACCACATACAAATGTTTGTTTTTTTTCTCCAGTTTGTAGTCCGAAGGTCTGTTGTGCAAGGTTTTTACCTAATAATAAAAAAAAAGCAACAAAATTCTTATTTTCTAAGATGAAAATTGGCTTTGGCCAAAACACACATGCAGATGTGCAATGTAAACAAGTCGATTATCTTGCAAATTATCCCATTATTCCATCTTCACCCCACAGCGTATTAACAACAATCCAAAATCTGTGTTGCAAAAGAGTTGCGGAATTATCCCAGCAGCGTGGCCACCCTATTGAAAGGATGCTTTGTCAAAAACAACAACAAAAAAAAAAACATTGCAAGACTTAAAACCCAAAACACTAGGCAGCCATGATGGGTTGCCATTAGGTTGATCACCAATGTTTATGTAAAAACACATTTGGGCAGGTCACAAATGAGTCAAAAGTGTGATCTTTCTCTGGTGTGAACATCTCGCCTTAGGTCAACATTTTGACACTTATAAGGAGATAATGGCCACCATTTGCCACAAGACACCAATGATCACCACTTGAGGTGTGAGGCCCGCTCAAGTATGGCATATGGTCTTGATCAAGATACAGTCGTGTCAGCATTTGACCCTAAAGTGAATGAATTCATTCATTCGACAGGTCGTCACCCAAAACAAGTGCTACCGACCAAATATCCGTCCGGGCGTGTTCCAACATCTTCAAAATACTTCCATTCCACCGGCACCGTAACCAATCGGACAAAAGACACATTATCATGGAACCATAATAGCGCTCTGTGTTGTTGATCATGTTTTTCTGATTGCTATACCGCGATGCTTTTAAACCAGGCTCTCCTGTTATGTCCCGCTTATCTTTTTTTATTATTCAAACAAATGGTACAAACTAACCATTTCATGTTCAAGTGGAGGAAGGCATAATAAATCTGTCCCTGCAGCAGAGCAAAAAAAAAAGAGCACACCAAAACGTGTTGAATTAGATCTGATAATCAAATTCCAGACAAGCATCATGATGAACATCATTACCGTATTTTCACACCTATAAGGCGCCATTAAAAGTCTAAAATTTTCTCCAAAGTGGACAGCACGCCTTATAATGCGGAGCGTCTTGTGTATGCGCTGAGTACCAAAACCTGACAGAGAGCCGACGCGCGTTTATATAGAGAAAAGGCGGAAGTGAATGAGGACAGGCATGCGGCGAAGAAGTCGGCCAATCAGTGAAGGGTGGGCGTGTATATATAATAGAGAGAGAGCGAGAGAGAGAGAGAGAGAGACTCATGAATCTATGACTCATCTTATCTCTTCATCATAAAAAAAAAAGCAGAATAAAAAGGGAATTCCTGATGGCCGCAGGGATCCCATTCCTTGGACTGTAAATCGCTTAGAAAGACACTTAGCTAAGAAATTAGCATGAACTCTCTCTCTTCAAATTATTTAAAAAATATTTCCACCTAATTACTTGTATCTTTTAATGTATTGTATTTATGCTGAATGAAATTGGTTTTGAAATAGAAAATAAATAAACAATGACTATTATTGTCACGTCTTCACACTGAACGTACCTCAATCCTACTGATTTGGATGCGAAATGGGCTCAACGATGCGTGCACAATAAGTTCTCTAAAGTGAAGCTATTGGAGTCCCCTGGGTTTTTTTTTTCCTGTAGGGGGTGGGGGGTATCATTTTGAGAGAGATGTTTTTTGTGTGGATGACTCATTTGATTTGGAAGTTTAATTTAAAAAACTAATATGTCAGTGAGTGTCTTACGTGGTGGCTGTGGTTTTGCATTAAATATCTCAACAATTACGCACACACACAGACCACCCGTATATAACCGTCTACTCATTTTCCATGAGTTCATCGCCAAATGCAAGAATATGTCATTCCGTGCATCGTTTTTAACCAACCATATCCGAGGTGAGGGCAACTGTTGGAGGCCTTATTCGTCCCCCGAGTTGAAGCAAATCATGAGTGCAAATGGAAGACATCTTGGAAGTGAGCCAAGGTGTGGCAGTGGCGGCTGAGGGGCATTCTGCTCATGACTGGGGGAGCGACCTCATTTTCCGAATAAAAGCCAGTTTACATAACACCTCTGTCCCCGTGACGAAGGGGAGCGGCGGACTGCCAGGCTTGTGGTTTTCCCTTGACTATCAAGAACCATTGTCTCCACTCCTCCATGAGTGGTTCCAGTGTTAACATGCTATTACAAAAAAAAAATAAAACATAAAAATCGAACAATTTCAGTCACACATAAATACCTCGGTGGCCACAGCTATTTAATTGCCTTGCACTCAGAGCCAAGCAGTGGAAGAGATATCCAAACGCCAATGCACAATCAAATCAAGTCATGACCCAAAACAAAAAAAAGAAAGTGTTTTGTGAGAAGAATGACCTTATTCAGTCAGTGAGCAGCAACTGGGCAGTTAGTGCATTTGCATGGAATTCAATCCTAATGACAAGTTGGACGTACCGTCCCAAAACATAAGAAATAGGGATCACATCAAAATCCAAGTGTCGCAAAATCGGTCGGCCGGACATCGCAATAGGTATGTCACACACATTACTGGGGGTCGAGAGACGGCACCACTAATGACGGGCAGGTAATAGTATAAGTGATATAGCACAATTGGAAGGTAAAGTCACGGACAGGAGGCCCAGGAGAGCGCTAAAGAATCAGGATGTTGATGAAGTGTGTAGGTGTGGACAGTATGAAGTAACTACTGAGGCACACTGGGTGTTTTTGTATGTGTGCGCCGAGGTAAACATAGCGGAGGAAATTAGTGGGGGAGATGTGATTGCCAATATTAG